GAGTTTATTAAAACAAATAAAAGTTTAAAGTCACCATGGGTCAATAAAGATCTTAGGAAATCCTCAAAAATAAAGTAAAAACTGTATATAAAGTACTTAAAAAAACCAACTCTAGAAAATAAAATTATTTATAAAAATTATGCTAAAATGTTTGAAAGTCAAAGAAAAAAATTTAAAAAAAGATATTACTATGATTTACTAGAAAAATATAAACATAATTCAAAACGCACATGGCAAATTATAAGTCAAATTACTGGAAATAGTAAATTAAAATTATGCTCTATACCTAACGCTATAAAAGTTGATGGTATATTTTTATATGAACCCAAACAAATTGCAAGAGAATTAAATAAATATTTCGTGTCTGTTGGCCCAAACTTAGCTAAAAATATTCCAAATATGATTAATCCAATAAATGATTACGTGTTTCCATTAATCTCTAGTTTAAATAAATTTGAAGTATCTTCTTCAGAATTTGAAAGTGCTTTTAGAATGCTTAAAACTAATAAAGCAGTTGGTCCTGATGATATAAATTTTAATATAGTCATAAATTCATACGATACCATAAAACATATTCTTTTTAAAGTTTTTAAATGTTCTATTAATCAAGGAATTTTCCCCGATCAATTGAAAATAGCCAAAATAACGCCTCTATTTAAAGGAGGTGAACCGTCTAATGTCAGTAATTATCGACTAATATCTATCCTCTCTGTTTTTTTAAAAATTTTAGAAAGAATTTTGTTTAATCAAATATCTAATCATCTTGCTATTAATAATATACTTTACATAAACCAATATGGTTTTAAAAGAAATAACTCTACTGAACATGCAATAGTTCATCTTACTCGTAGTATAACTGATTCTTTCGAAAAGTCAGAGTTCACTTTAGGCGTCTTTATAGACTTATCTAAGGCTTTCGACACAATTGACCATGAAATACTGTTTAAAAAACTTGAACATTATGGTATCATCGGTAATGCTTTAAAACTACTAAAAAGCTATTTAAAACATCGCAAACAATTTGTCTATATCGACGGATCTTCTTCACAAGATTATTTAAATATAGATTATCTAAATATAACCTGTGGAGTTCCACAGGGATCTATACTAGGGCCCTTATTATTTCTAATTTATGTTAACGATCTCCATGAAGTCTCAAAATTAACAACTATAATGTTTGCTGATGATACAAACCTATTCCTATCAAATAATAATATCGACAAACTTTTTTATGATATGAACATTGAACTAATAAAAATATCTGACTGGTTTAAGTTAAATAAACTTTCACTCAACATTGATAAAACTAAATGGATTTTCTTTCATCCACGATTTAAAAAACATTTATTTCCAAGTAATATGCCTCTTCTTCATATTGATAATATTCAAATAAAAAGAGTAGTTTTCACAAATTTTCTAGGTATTATTGTTGATGAAAATCTATCATGGAAGAATCACATCGGACATTTATGCAACAAAATTGCAAAAAGCATTGGAGTTTTATATAAAGCAAGAAGCGTTTTAAACAAACATGCACTAACTCAACTATATTACTCTTTCATACACTGTCATATTAATTATGCTAATATTGCATGGGGTAGTACCCATAAAAGTAAATTAAAGCCACTTTATTGTCAGCAGAAGCATATTGCACGTATTATAAATTTCAAAAATCGTTTTACTCACTCAAGGTCACTTTTATTTAACATGAATGTTTTTAATATATATCAAGTAAATGTTTATAATGTTCTTTGTTTTATGTTTAAATGTAAAACCAACTCTTCTCCAGCTTCCTTTTTTGATTTATATTCTTTAAAAGAAAAAAACAAATATTCTTTAAGAAATGATAATTTTATTAAACAACCAAAATTTCAAACAAACTTTGGTAAATTTTGCATTTTCGTGGAGCTTTTTTATGGAACCAAATAATTTTAAAAAATTTTGATTTTTCTCATGAATGGAGTTATTATATGTTCAAACGAAAACTAAAAAAAGTAATATTCTCAATTGAAAATATATTTATATACTTTTAATTTTACCCAGTTTTGTCAACACTCATTTATATTTTACTTTTATACAATATTGATTTAAAGTTTATGTCAGAAACTGTAGTTAAACATCATTATTTGAATTTTGTTAAAAGTTCCACTGACATTATTTGTACAGTAGGCATTTATTATTTACTTGTTTACTTTAATTTTTATTTTATTTCGTAATTTTGTAAATAATTCGTATTACGAACGGTATATACTTTTAATATTGAATTTAATTTTGTAATGAAAAAACATATATATATTATTATTAAAAAAAAAAAAAATACAAAAAAAAAAAAATACAAAAATAAATTTGATGTATGTGACTGGATGTATCTGCAAACATTGTATGTATGATACTTTTGGAAGTTAATCATCCTATGACAGTGGTTTAGCATTTTTGTTGGCGAAAGCGTTAACGTAAATGCACCAACATTTGATAATTATGGCTTCTCACACAATGACACCATCATTTGGCTATCTAAATTCTTCTACACAATCTTTTGGACAATCTTGAAGTGCATTTGGATGTACCTAGTGCAATCATATTCTTATTATTTTCGTTTATTTATTAATTAATTAACAATTAAGATCAGTGTAACTGATAGATTTGAGTAACAGGAATCAGTGATCGAGTCAGATGCGAGACGTATTTATTTATTAAGAATACTATGATATTATTGTTTTCGCTTGAATCATCCGGTTCAGAAGAATTAGTACTTTAATTCCAGCAATAAAGACCATAACTTAAAAAAGTTAAAAACTTGTGTTTATTTATTTTTGTTTTTCCTAAAATCTAAACTAAGATCAAAGTTCTTCAACAGCGGTTCTCTGTGACAAGACCTGTATGGTCTTCTTTGAGTATCCGCGTTCTTTATCTTAATTCTTTATTTTTTTGTAACGATTTTTTTGCATGTAAATTTTTCTTATTATATATTTGTAAATATTGTATTAAATATTGTAATAAAGAACAAAAAAAAAAAAAAAAAAAAAAAAAAAAAAAAAAAAAAAAAAAACATTGGGAATGAAACGAATGTACTGGATTCGATTATAGCTGAGAATAAAAATAGAGTTTATAAACTGGTACACCTTCTACCATTGGGAGGTATTAATCACGGTCATCACATTATTAAATTTAACTACAGTCATGAAGAGCGTATTGACAACATTGTACTTATAAAAGAAAAATTTAATTTTAATCGAGGGAAATTTGATAAATTAAATAATTATTTTAAAATCTTAAACTGGGACAATGAATTCAAAGGTTTAGAAATAAACAAATGTTACGAAAAATGGTTAAGCTTTTATGAAGAAGGATGTAAACTCTTTATTCCAATCATAAAACCGGGAAGCATTCAAATCAACACAAAACCTCTCTGGATTAATAGAGAATTGAAAGTGCTGTCAAAAGAAAAAAGAAACGTTTGGTTCGAATGTCGAAGGCAGAAATTCAGAAACAATTGTTTACTTGCAAAATACAAAGAGTTAAACAAGGTTTTAAAAAAAAAAGTGAATCAAAGAATTAAAGATTTTGAATATGATCTTGCTTTAAATTTAAAGTTTAACCCCAAGAAAGTTTATTCATATATTAACAATAAAAGTAAAGTCAAAGACAATATAAGAGCAATCCAACTAAAAAATGGTAGCATCGAAACTGATTTAAAAGTAATTGCAAATACATTGAAGGGGTATTTTGCATCAGTATTCAATAAACCACAAGCTTTATCTGCTCCAATAATAGAAAGAGAAACAATCTGTAAAAATCCAGTTTTTAATGCCTCTGTTGTTGAAGAGTACTTAAACAAACTGGATACTAATAAAGCAACTGGAATGGACAGAGTTCATCCAAAAGTTCTAAAAGAGTGCAAATCTATTTTAGCCAAACCAATATCGTTATTGTTTAATAAATCATTTGAAACGGGTAAATTTCCGAAATTATGGTTGTGTGCAAATATTGTTTAAAAATGGTGACAAGTTGAACCCATGCAACTATAGACCTGTATCTTTAACATCTGTAGTTTGTAAAGTCATGGAAAAAAAAAATTAAAGATAAAATGATGAAACATTTAGTAGAAAATAAATTAATCAATAAAAACCAACATGGATTTGTAAATAACAAAAGTTGTGTGACCAACTTAATGGAATCTCTAGATTTTATCACAAGTTCAATTGATAATGGTTTGGATGTAATAGTTTTGTTTCTGGACTTATTATTGTTAAAATTGAATGCTCTTGGTTTTAAATCAAAACTATTTGACTGGTGCCAGGGATTTTTAAAGAACAGACTTCAAAGAGTGGTAATAGGAAAAAATAAATCAAAATGGGAAGAGGTCGTGAGTGGAGTACCACAAGGATCAGTGCTAGGAGCACTATTATTGTACACTGTTAAAAATATCGCGTTTTTTACGGAAATTTCCGGCAGCAGATTTTCCAGAAAGTTTCCGTTGTTTTTACGGAAAAATAAAGTGTTGAAGGAAATTTCCGTATAAATTACGGAAAATATCTATCATCGTAATAACAGATATTTCCGTATTTAAACGGATATTTCCGTTAACATGTGACTGATTTTTCTGTAAAATAACGGAAAATTTCTGGAAAATCTGCTGCCGGAAATTTCCGTTGAAAGCGCAAAATTTACTTTACAAAAAAACTCTTCTAAAAATGTATTCCTTAAACGATAAAAAAAAATTAATAACATAAATATATTCTGCAATTATTAATGTCATAAGTTGCTCTAAACATTGCATAAAAAAAAGTTAAATAAAAATTTATATATATATATATATATATCTAAAAAAATCTAAAAATCTGTGAAATTAAGAAAGATAAGCATATATTGAGAGCCTTCTTTTACTTTTTGCATAAGCTTATTCTTTCTTTTTAAATTTTTTTAAGCTTACATATTATTGTATAAGCTTTCGCATAAGCATTTTTTGAAGATTTTATATGCTTATAATATAAACTTTAGCTGCTTTGAAAAATTTGTTTTTACCTTAGAATCAACACCAGTAGTCTATTAACATTATGATCGTATCTTGTGTTCTTGATATGATGGACCATAAATAAATTCATCAAATGGTAGACCACAAGCAAAATTATTAGTTTAAAAATAACAATAAAAACATTATTAATATAATATAATAAAAATTAGTTTAAAAAAATTAAACGAATTCTTTAACTTTTTATTAAAATATAAATATTATTATTACATTTTATATATATATATATATAAATACATTTACTATTTTTCTCTCTACATAGTATCCAGATTCAATACAATGCTTTTTCAGTGCTTCCAGATTCCATATTTATACTTTATGCTTTGTGGATTTTAACTTTTTAAACTTTCCATATTATAGCCAACCATATACCTAACAACACAAATATAAATGCTTTAATACAAATGAGTGAAATAACAAATGAAAATATAAATACAGCAAAATCACGAATACAAATGAAAATATGAATACAACAAAATTGTAAATCTTTGTCCGGAGTTTAAGACATTCAATTCTTAAAACAAAAAATATATTGCTAATAAACTTCCTATCCTGCAATTTATTTCTTAAAACAAGAAATATATTTCTTAAACTATAAACACTAGATTAACAATATTGCTGTAAATCTTTAAGCAAGAAAAAAATTTCCTACACTGTAATTTATTTCTTAAAACAAGTAATATATTTCTTGTTTTAAGAAACAAATTGGGGGATAAGAAATTTATTTCTTAAACAAGATAAATATTTCTTGTTTAAAGAACTAAATGTCTTAAAATATGGACTAAGATTTAAGATTTTGCTGTGAAGAAATGCTACTTGTAATACTTTTTATCAGTTAAAGATTTATTAGTTAAATCTTATGGATTACTTGGCATTAATTAGAAACTGTTTTAAAATATCTTTTTTCTTCTTAAATTTTTTTTTTCACATTACTTTGTTAGAACTTCAATGAAAAAAAAAAATTTTTTCTAAAAAGAAAATATCTCTTTTTCTTTACGTATGAATGTATCTACATATAGAGTATGCAGTGACTCCTACATCAGCACAACTTGCTCATTTCCAATTAACTCTAATTGATTCCATAGGCGATCATATATCCTGCAATTGAAGTGCACGCAGATGATTTCAGAAAATAGAGAGTGTGATCCTTCATATATTGCTATCAGATCTAGAAAACATTGTTTTATTTTATGTTGCAGATTTTAAAATAATTTAAGATATTGTTAAAAACATTTCATATTTTTAAATTTTGCTTAATTATATCTTTAACTATAAATACTAATATATAAATAATTGTGCAATTTAAATAAATTTTTTGGATAAAATATCTAAAACACTAAAATATTAAATAAGAAAGAAAATTAAGATGCAATTTTGAGATAACAAGTAAAACATTCCCAAATTTTATTTATATAAAAATACATAGTTTATACACACACACATATAATATATGTGTGCATAAACTATGTTTTTTATATAAATACATATGTATATATACATATATGTATTTATGTATGTATGTATGTATGTATGTATGTATGTATGTATGTATGTATGTATGTATGTATGTATGTATGTATGTATGTATGTATGTATGTATGTATGTATGTATGTATGTATGTATGTATGTATGTATGTATGTATATATATATATATACATATATATATATATATATATATATATATAAAAGGTTAGCAAACTAAGCTAAGATCTTAGGATGATGTTTACATTTGATAAGTTCTACAAAAATAAATTTACTATAAAACCATCATTTAAAGTAATAAATCTCAAAATCACTTTAGTAAATAAATAAATACTTCATAGCATTTACTCTACAAGAGATATGCATACTAAAATACGAAGAACATTCAAGCCTTACACCTACAACTTAAATTTATTATATTATATACTAAATGACTAAATACTTTTCTAACTAAAAATGCATCATATTTTTATTTCTGGAAGTTATTCTGATACACCGAAGCACTTGAATTTTGAGAAAAATATTAAATAAAAATCCAGAATGATTTAACAACAATAGACAAAACAAACAATACCTTTAAAGCAATAACTTAAGGCCTTCACATTTTATTTATTTGTTGGAAATTACCATTTTTATTTTTAATCCATACTATAGAGCATCACTTGATTCTATAGTATCAACAATAACTTACTATATATAGCCTTTTTACAATGTTGGACTGCTAGAAATAAGGTTTACGTTCAAAATCTTTTAGTGAACTGATCAAACTTTTTCTAAAAACAATTAGAAATAATGAAGAAAAATGATAGCAGATGTATTTATTTTATATAGAATTTTACTATTCTGCATGGCTATCCTGCATGAATATTATAAACAAATAAATTTAATAATGTATTCTAATCATAGTTGTAATTTCTGGGGTAATCTTTATAAATTTGTTTTTAAATTTTTTTTTTAATATTTACTTGTAGATAACTTAAATATCTTATTTATAAAGATATTGTAATTAAATATTAATAAAAATGTAAATTGTTATAAAAAGTTTTTAAAACGATGAGAAATTCATCGGTCTTATCATGAAAAAGCACTAGTGCTTAAGTAGTGCTATTTTAAAATTTATTTATTTTAAGCTACATATTTTAACATGTGAACTTTTTCCTTGGCTTTGAAATGATCCATTTTATATATCCTATGTTATGTGAGTGCACTTCCATAAATTTAAAATCACTCAAAATTAAACTAAGAATGCACAAGTCTTGTGTCAAGAACCCTACTAAACATTAGGTACGTGAGTAAAAATTTCAAATAGTTTAAATATTCTACTGTTATATATCATTAGAAAGAGGACCAATACAGTATTTTAAAGGTGAAAAAATTATCAAAAACGAACAATCGGTTCAAAAGTTATGACAGTTTAAGTACCGATTTTTCGATATATGGAATTGTTGAAGAAACTGTGGTCAAAATTATGTTTTTCTTCACTTAAATTGTCATAACTTTATTAATTCTTATCGAAATACAAATATCTTGGTGTCAAAAGATAGGTGTAAGAGTGGGCTACAAATCTTTGTTAAACTTTAACCACCGGGTGTATTGGATGGACAGAGGGGGCACCAAACCACCACCTTACCCGTATGAAACTTAACATTTTTTTCACAAAAAAAGTCTTTTTTCAAGACATAAGTATTTTAAATATACAAAAACATTGTTATAAAATTATATTTAAGCACCAGAGCATATGAGAGGCGTATGATAACGTTGGAGGTGGGTGTGGTGGTGATGGTTTGATACACCCTAGTATCAAATAAGACTTGTTTTCATAAATATTTTTATCTTTACTAAAATGAATTCAATTAGTATACAATATAAAACTATGTTCTACAAGAATTTACGTGGTGTTACTATTACGAATTTAAGTCGTGTTTACATCGATGTATGGGAGGGGCGAATAACCCCCCCCCCCAACCTAAAAAAAAAATTAAAAAAAATTAAAATGACATGACTACTGTTTCCTAAAGTTCCAAAACAAAGTTTTTTTCTGTATAAAAAAGGTTCTATAAATTAATACTGGACAAAAAAGAGGGGCTATTAAAAGAGAGGGGCTATCTCCCCCTTTCCCCCAACTAATCATTTTTTTAAAAAAAAGCATTTTTGATAAATTGGAGAATTTTTGGTTAAAATATTCTCATACAGAGTTCTATTATCAGTCAATAGTGGTAAAAAGTACTTTTTTTTAGCAAGTCACAACACTAGCAGTACTTTTTTTTTCAACAAATCACAGCACTTGCAGTTTTTTATTCTATAAATTTCAAATTTATATATTTGCAGTGTTTTAACAAAATAATATCTAGTTAACACTCTGGAAACAATATCTGCAACAAGCTGAAACTTTTTCATGCAATGTTCTACAGCTTTGATATCCATTTTATTAACCAACCTTTAATAATTTTGAAATCTTTCAAATAGTGCTTTGGCTGTTTCAAACTAAAAAACAAATAAAATGTTATTAAAAAGAAATAATAATGGTTTGTTTATTTTTTATCTTATATAGTTTTGTCTTGGCTTTTAGTGAATGATTACAATAATAAATTTCTTTTAGCTAGTCACAACACTGTATAGTATTTTTCAGCAATTCATTTGTAGTACTTTTTTAGCTTAAATTTCAAACTTGTACTTTCATAGTGTTTTATTAATGTAATATAAAATTAATAAAATTGTAACTCTTCTGAAATAACAGTAAGAAATAGTGCAAACCAAGTCATTTTTTCAACTAAATACTTTTTCTACTCTGCCATTATACAAAAAAGGCTTGGATGTTTAGGATCATATCATTCATGATATAGTTTTTTGCCTACAATTCTTCTATACATGACATCTTCTAAATAATAAAGTTGGTCATTAGACAAATTTTTGTATGAATCTATAATTTCATCATAACTCAGTTTGAATAGCTAACGCTCTAACTTTTTTTGCTCTAACTTTTTTCTTTTTCATTGATTTTTTGGCACTTGGATGCCTGTCTTTGGGAAATATTGGCTCTAATTTTAGCCTGATGCAATCGATTGCTAACTCTATTTATGCGTGCTACATGAACTGAGCATTTAACAACTTTATCTCTCAAATTAATAATATAGAAACCTTAGCAGCTGCAACAGATGACAAGGATATTAAAGATTAAATAATACAATGACACAAAAAATTAAATGGTACATGTAAATATTACATACTAAATATCCATATATAGTAAATATACAATAACATAGTACATATTAAATAGTACAATACTGCTTAATACACAAAATCAGACTATATTTCTCAATACATACACATAAAAATACACATTAATCTCTTACCAATTAATGAAGTGTTGCTAAAGAACTAAAAAGAAATAAGTAATAACAATAGTAATATAATGTTTACTAAAATAAACTTAATTTCAAGTTACAATTTTTGTTACAACATCTTTAGCTAGCGTGTATCAATAAATTAACCACCTTAAGCTTGTGTATCAATTAAGTAATAATCTTTAGTTAGCATGTATCATTAAACTACACCATTGAAATTATTAAAATTTACTAAAATTACAAATCTGCTGTCTAAATTCAGCAAACTTTAAATTACTTACCTTATTATAAGATTAAATTATAACACTAACATTACAAAAAAAAAAAAAGTTTAAATGACTAAATAACTAAAATATTTCAAACTTTACTTACTAATAATTTGTTCTAAATTGTCTATAGAAAAAAAATAACAATGATTCAATAAAAAGCATGAAACAATCAGGAATATATAAATAAACAACTGTAAAAAAACTTTGTGAATGCACAAAAATCTGCACAAAAAACATAGCATAATATAGATATGTAATTGAATATTGAGAGTAAAAGACTAAATACTAAAATAAAAAATCGCAAAAAAAAACTGACTTAACCTCTCAAAAGTATCATCTAAAAAACAAATGAAAAACGAAAAGTATTGTCTAAAAAACAAAATAATAAAAACATTCGTCTAAACGAAATCTATTGATCTCAAGTTAAAAGAAACTAATGAATATTGAATGAATAAAATAACTAACTGATATATATCAGTAAATATATATATATATATATATATATATATATATATATATATATATATATATATATATATATATATATATATATATATATATATATATATATACATATATATATATATATATATATATATATATATATATATATATATATATATATATATATATATATATATATATATATATATATATATATATATATATATATATATATATATATTATACATAAAAGTTGAATAAGGTTGCTAACATATATTAGTTATATATGACCATATTTTATTTATATTATTTATTACAGTTGAAAGATTAACAGTTAATCATTAAAAAAAAAAAGTCTAGTTTTTACCTAGACTTTTTTAAAAAAGATGCATTATACAACAAGTAGTAGCATATTGCAATTTTAATTGGAGAGACTTACAATGTAAGATAAAATATGTTATAATATTACTAATATGTCAGTTACATTTTTAAAAAATTCAACTTTAAAATAGGGAAACATTAAAATTCATTTAATAACTTTATATTGAAGGAAAATAATTTTTTTAAAACTTTAATAAATAGGAAACAATATTAAAAACTTTTATCAATATCTTTACTTTCCATTTTATTTAATCTAAAAAAAAAACTGAAAATTTTATTTAATCAAAATCAAATATAAACAATGTTTATTCAACCCCTGTCTCCCGCAACCACTTCAGCAAAATGAAAATTAGGTACCAAAAGTGCGACAAAAAATAGACACCCTGCTACAACTTTTTTTTCAATGAAATTTTCCAGGTGCATAGATAAATGAAAAACTTAAAAAAAAGAATAGTATAGAAAAAAAAATGAGCATATCTTCGACATTAATTTCATGCCCAAAGTACAACTAGGTTTTAGACATAAAAAAACTCAATAAAAAATCCTTCTAGTAAAATAATAAACCTCACAGTAATAAAGTTTAACTATTCTAGTTTCTAAAAATAATCTATATTGATATCAAATTCTAAAAAGTTTTTCAACTAAATACGTCTTCCCTACGCTAGCTAAAAAAAAAATCTAAAAAGCGTGGCACAGTTTTTTAGCACAATATTCGGTTCCGTAAAACGGATATTTCCACGTACCTATAAACATAGTCTCGTTCTAAGCAATCCAGGGACCAAATAGAGCTCATGTAATTTTAAAATTAAAAAGAACAGAACAGTTTATATTAAAATGCCTGGTGATCTTTTTTCGCCCTGCAGGTGAAACTTCAGAACTTATTTTTGGAGATAAATGCGTACATAAAAATAACTTTTAAAAATCTTCAACATGTATTTTCTATATAAATACAACGGAAATTTCCGTATTTGAAAATTTAGCTACAAATACGGAAAATTTCCGTACATAATCGATGGATACATCCATATATGGACATACGGATCCTTTCCGTTGAAATAACGGAATAAATTTCCGTTTTTTTAACGGAAATTTTTAACAGTGTAGTGTATATTAATGATCTCCAACAAAATAAAACCAAGCTGTAAACTATTTGCTGACGACATGAAAATCCTTAGAGCAATAAAAAACGCTAATGATGTTATTGAACTTCAACAAGATATAGACTTATTAATGGAATGGTCGAATGAGTGGTTGATGAAATTCAACCAGCAAAAATGTAAGGTTATGATAATAGGAAATAGCCAGCACAAAGTTTTAATGAATAATACAGCTTTAGCCTACACAAGCATGGAAAAGGATTTAGGAGTGTACATTTCAGATGATTTGGAATGGAAACACTATGTAAATAAAGCAGTAAATAAAGAAAATCAAAAGCTAGGTCAGAACAAACACACTTTTAAATATTTAGACGAAAAAACAATGAAACTCTTGTTTATAGCCTTAGTACGTCCACATTTGAAATACGCAGCTTCTATCTGGAATCCTTATCGTCAGTATGATAAAGATAAACTAGAGTGTGTCCAACAAAGAGCTTCTAGAATTAAAATTTTGAAAGGATACAGTTATGAAGAGAGGTTAAAGAAGTTGGATTTACTATCGTTGGAAAACAGAAGAAGAAGGGATGATTTGATACAAATGTTCAAATATTTGAAAGGGTAAGATATTATAAATTTTTACACAAAACCCAAAATGCTAGATAACGGATATAAAAATAGAGGTCACAATAGTAAACTGAGAAGGCAATATACAGGAAACATAAAACGACATAACTTTTTCACAAATAGAGTAGTAAACGACTGGAACAATCTTGAACAAGAAACATTAGACGCAGTCAGTATCAACCAGTTCAAAAAAAAATTGGATGAACATTTTAAATACTAACTTTTATTATGTTTGTATGTTAGTGTGTTACAGCTGTTAAAGTTACAAACTCTACGTAGTTTGGACTCATCACTCTTTAAGTGTACATCACTATTATATTATATTATATTATATCTATCAGCAAAATAACTCTACAGAAAACAGACGTCGGTTTGTTACTGCTAGGAACCATTGTAAAAAGGTTTTGCTTAACGCCAAAGTCCGCTATTCTCAGATCATGAAATCTCGTATTTCATCACAAAAATTAGGCTCTCGCGACTTCTGGAGAATCTTTAATAGTATCAATAATAAGGGCAAATCTGTAATTCCACCTCTTTTGTATGGTTCAGACATTGTCACCTCACCTAAAGAAAAAGCTGAATTAGTTGCTAAGAACTTTTCATCAATATCATCTCTTTATTCTACTAGTTGTGTTCTACCTGTTTGACGGTTATCGTCAATCAGGTTGATTCATTGCTCGACATCCATATCACTCAAGTTTCTGTATCTAAAGTAATTTCCTGCTTGAACTTTTCTACAGCTTATGGCTCGGACAGCATACCTGTTATAGTCTTGCAGAAGTTTCTCCAGAGATGTCGTCGATCCTTTCAAAAAATTCAACAAGTGTTTATCAGAGTCTTGTTTTCCAGCCTGCTGGAAAGCAGCATATTTTTAAAAATTCTGGAGAGCGATCTGATTTGTCAAACTACCGTCCCATTAGACTTCTTTCTATCATAAGCAACGTTTTTGAATCTTTAATTAACAAACACCTCATCTCTCATTTTGCATCCAACAACTTACTTTCTGATCATCAATATGGATTTCGATATTCTCGTTCTACGGCTGATTTTCTAACAGTAATAACTGAACGGTTTTATCGCGCATTAGATAAAGGTGGAGAGATTATGGCCATTGCTCTTGACATTTCTAAAGTGTTTGATAAAGTTTGGCATGCTGGTCTACTCCATAAGCTTTTTTCTTACGGTGTATCTGAAAACATTTTTAAGATTATTGAATCCTCTCTTTCCAATCGTAGTTTAAAAGTTATCCTTGATGGACTGTACTCTTCTTCTTATTCTGTAACCTCAGGGGTTCCCCAAGGTTCAATTCTTGGCCCTATACTCTTTTTAATTTACATTAACGATCTTCCAGATATTCTCACATCTAAGGTGGCATTGTTTGCTGAATATACTACCATTTATTCTTGTCACGATAAGAAGCCAACTTCCTCTGATTGCTTGCAGGGGGAATTTGAGCTTGAAAAGGATCTCATTTTTACTACAGCATGGGGCTATCACAGTGGCTGGTGAACTTTAATTCAGATAAAACTCAGCCAATCGTTACCGCAATAATTTAGATCTTCCTATATTTATGAACGGTAATGCACTCAATGAGTCATCTACCCTTCATCTTCTAGGATTAACTCTTACTTCGGATCTTTTTTAGAAACCTTTTATCAAATCCGTTGCAAAATTAGCATCTGCTAAAAGTGCATTTCTTTATTGAGCTCGACACTTTCTTACTCTGGATTCTATTCTCTATCTTTATAAATCTTAAATCTGACCTTGGATGGAATACTGTTGCCATATCTAGGGCGGATCTTCTAATGATGCCCTTTCTCTTTTAGACAAGGTGCAAAAACGCATTGTAAACATAGTTTACAATGCGGACCTGCTCTTGCAGCTAACCTTCAACCTTTGTCACATCGTCGTAATGTTGCTTCTCTTTCTCTTTGCTACAAATACTATATTGGGCACTGCTCTAAAAAGCTAGCGTCTCTTGTGCCATCTACTAAAATTCACTCTCGTGTTACTCGTCATTCAATTAAGTCTCATCTTTTTTCTGTTACTATTCCTAAGTGCTCCAAAAACTCTTATTTATCTAATTTTTTTTCTCGAACATCAGTTTATTGGAATTCGCTTCCTTTATCTTGCTTTCCTGATTCATATAATTTGCAATCTTTTAAGTCGTCTGTCAGTCGTTATCTTGCTCTAAAATTTTCATCTTTTCTCTTCCAGTAAGTTCCAACACTAATTAGTGGTTGCTTGCAGCCTTATTGGAAGCGAAGATGTTTAAAAAATATTAATAAAGTAAAATTACAAAATGTGATCAGGATGCAAGAGACACTTTATATGTTACTGACCATGTAGTTGACAAATTTAATCAAGATGTTCCAAGTGTAAAACAGATATACAAAAAAAGTGATAATGGAGGTAAGAATATAATAATCATAATTATTGCTAAAAAAATGCTATTCAGCTAAGTCAGTAATCAAATATCAGTTCAATCCATTTAATTTCAAATAACGATAATGGAATGGCGCTATGGCAGTACTTTAATTGTGTAAAGGTAAAACAATTCAGTTTTCAGGATTAGAATTCTTTTCTGGTTTAACAGAGATTGAACCTTTTGATGGTGGAGAAATTTTTAGAGCAAATAGAACTCAATAGAAACGAAAAGATCTTTTTTTTGTTTTTTGATATTAAAGCTGACCTTTGAAACCATCTGCACACAGCACCCAAGTTAAACATATCTTTACTTTAGAAGAATGTTTAAAAAATATCAGCATGACTTGCTTAAAAAATCCGAATAAGCTATTTAAGACTTGAGAAGTGAGAATTAGTATGAAACATATCACCTTAACTATATTGAAAATATAGTTAAGGTGATTTTAGTCAATGTTAAAAAACTAAACAATGTAAACTTTGGGCAGTTAGTTCTAGTAGCTTTGAAAACCAATTAAATCACTCTGTTGGCCAAATAACAACAATACAATGATGACGATGTGCGTATCAACCTCATGGTTAGATAGGATAAAACTTTTTATTGGTTATACCCCAAACATAAATTTATTGAAGACAGGTGTAACATCCACAAAATATTAAACATTCCTGAGGGAAGACTTACGGATCATTTTGTTTTTTGAATTATAGATATCTTCATTTAAGCAAAACATCCCATTGAAGTCTTTTAATTTACTGACAGTATATAGGTGTATTATTCGTTTTCAAATAATTGTAATTTAATAGTTATGCTAAGTTTGAAAAGCAAAAGATCGATGTTCTCGTTGGTGCATCAATCTTTTGCTTTTTAAAGTTAGCATACATTTTATCGTTTTTAAAGCAGGTGAGGTTTTGAGACATGATTTTTAGACCAAGATCGAATATTAAATCATTTCGACTATATTTGCATAAAAACAGTTTTTCTTTCTTAAAAACTTATAACATACTAATATAAGCCTTGATTCACCAGACTTGGTGCTCAAAAGTAGAGAATTTGCGTTGTTGAACGCTGCTGGGGTATATTTGGATAACTGAAAAAAGTTGTTGTAGTTGTTGAAAAATATGTAGCAGATATTTTAAAAACTCAATTTAATTAAATGAGCAAAAATGATTTTATGCTCGTTTGATTAAATGCTTACGGTTCTTGCAGTTGGTAGTTACTTAATTTCAAAATAAAATAAAAACTACGACAACCGATTCATACAATAAAAATATAGATTGTTCACTAATACATACTTCAAAATATACCAAAAAGGTAAATTTTTTTCCCAGCTAAAAACGTAAGCACGTTGCGGAGTGTTAAAATTTTTTTTTTTTTTAAATGTAACAATTATCTAGCATGTGTTTAAAATGTTTAACAATTTTCGTTTAAATTTTTTTTTTACAAAGTTAATTTTTAAAAATGTAACACATGATAAAGGTTATTTTTTTAAAAGTTTTGAAATAAATCAACAGTTATACCTATATAAATAAAAATGTTAGAATTTACAAAAATACACGTAAAAATTTTCGATTTTTAAAATATTTCCGGATAAGTTGTTAAATTTCGGATTCATCATGTATAGCGTAAGACAACCATTTAACATCATCGTACTTGTTTTCTAATTTCTTTCGCAATTCGCAACCATGTTCGTAATCGCGTACTTCACAAACCACTTTAATCTATAATTATTAAAAAACTATATTTATCAAAAATCAATTTTATATCGTGGATATGGTGCACTAGCTAGAATCGGGGTACCGTTCTCATTCAGTATGAAAGAAAGAAAGAACGAGGAGAGGAAATATATATACACACACACACATATATATATATATATATATAATGATTTAGAGACCCCAATGATTTAGAGACCGTCTTAAATACTTGCTATCACTGTGTCACAAAATGACGTTTAATTCGAACCTTTTTTCCCGAGAAAAAACTTTCGGGGGTATGACAGTACAAGTATGTAAGTGTACATTAGAGTTGGTTCGGAAATCTTTCATTAAGGTCCGTGAAAGAAAAAATCGATTTGAAATTTCGATTTTTCTGCCTGTTGAAAAGATTATTTATCAAATGAAATAAACATTTTTTACATAAAAATTGTATATTTTTTTTCACATAAGTTACTAACAAAGATAAGCAGCTCGTTTAGGTAAGAGTTCCTAGGTCCTTAAATGATTTTCAAATTCCGGGAAAGGCCTGCGAACAGTTTCATTGTGTCTTTTGAGCCAGTGCAAAACTATTTAAAATGCTTAATCAAGCTCATAAATGCTCATAAATTTAAAATGCTTAATCAAGCTCATAATCCAAAACTCATAATGACAACAGAAAAACTGTCTGTTTTCTCTGTTTAAAAAAAGCTAAAAGGCAACTGACTGACTTTTTTGTTAAACGCTGTCAAGAAGTTTTTAGTCAAGCTGCCAACTTTGAAGATAAAAGAATCCTAATTGGTATCTGCAAAAACTGTCGAGTAGGCCTTAGAAAAAGAGAAAATGTTGAAGATGTTTAACTTCTCACACTGCCTGAATACCAAAACATAAAGATTCATCCTGCAACTAAAGAATCACAATGCAATTGCATGATTGATATGTGGGAAAAAACCAAGTTTGAAAGCCCTCAGCCAATTGAAACAATAAACATAACCAGTCAGCCGAAAGAACAGCCAGTTGTTGAGAAACGTTGTTCAGCATGCTTCTTACTGATTGGAAGAGGAATTCCAAATAATTGTACAAAAGGAATGCTTCAACAGAATTTGCTTGAAGTTGCAGAAAAAGAAACAAAAGCAGAACAACGAGTAGCTGCTTGCGTTATAACTAACAAGGTTCCTTCACCCCATGGCACTGTGCGTCTTAATTAAGGAATAGGAAGGATCTTCCAGTTACTCCAGGTAAAAAATATATTTTATTGCCATTGATGCTTAATATGCTTTTGTTTAGTGACTCTTATTACAGCAAGAAAACTTTATAATATGTGTTATGTTGATGTTATCATTTTTTCCAGGGCCATCAAGACAAAGAGAATTTTTTCCAGCAGCTACTTTCACCCTGACTGCTCAACAACTTCTATAAGTTCAAAACCAGAGTGGGCTTTTAAACACTTAACAAAGTAGCTCCCCAGCGAGAAGTTAAAAAAAAACGTCAGGGAAAAATTTGATACAATTTATTGATCGTGACAGTTTATTGATCGCCACAAACAATTACTGAGCATCTATTAAGAGCAAGCAACAGAATCACTCTATCATGACTTCAACCATCACTGGCAACGGTTCAATAGGCCCAGTAATCATCCAGATTCCCCTAAAAATCTTTTAAACTGTTTGATTGATTAAAACAGCAGGCATTACTTTTAACTTCTTTGTAGAGAATACTGTACTATAACATGATATGTAAGAAATTACCATTCAACATCAATTTTTAAAAACTATATTTAATAAGAATAATCCCTTTTTTTTAATTTGCTTGATCTGTTAAGCTAAAATCTGATTTTTTGAAATTTTACTTAAAAGTTGAATAAAAGTTGTATAAAAGTGCATATGTATAGAATAAATTTGTTAGAACACAAATGTTTTTAATTGAACAAATATGTTGAAGCGAGTTTCAAGTGTTTTCGATCGAACGGATATGTTAAAACAAGTTTCAAATGTTTTCAATAGAACAAGTATATATAAAAATATATCAAAAAGTCATGACAATCATATTTACAATGTGATTGTACATTTAAATTTTTTGAGCTTCACAATTAAGTATTGCTCCAGGGCCCTGAGCCAGCTTGGAGCGGCCCTAGAGAGTAAACAAAAAACTAGATAATAGTTATAACAATACATACTATTGTTATTAAATGAACAAACAAAAACTAAAGATTAAAAAGTTAAGTTGAATGAAAAGATATAAGGATTTTTAGGACTTTTACTCAACTAAATAAACTTTTAGTTGATTAGTAGAAAGTCTATAGTTGACTAAATAAACTTTTAGTTGATTAGTAGAAAGTCCATAGTCGATTAAATTGACTTTTAGTTGATTAGTAGAAAGTTTATAGACGATTAAATTGAATATTCCATTTTTCAAAGCCGACAAATTTTGACTTTTGAATATGTTGACTTTTAGTCAATTTAGTTGAAGTCGATAACAACACTAGTTTTTATTACATCAACTTTAATAACTCCAATGCACCTAATCGCTTTATTAAATGAATTTTTTTGTAACTGTTCATTTTTCAACAGAAAATGAAAAAAAGCAACTTTTATATCTTTTAAAAAACTGTTGCACCCAGTTTTACAAACCAATAATAATTATAACAAAAAAAAACAAAAAACAACCAGTAAAGCCCATTCTTCAGTCATCCTGCAGTTGTAATACCTTTAGAGAAAATGGCGTCAGAAAAATTAAAAACAGTGATGTGTTGGGATTGTAGTGGCCAGATGAGATGCTCAGCTTCATTAGAATGTACATTATGCCATTCTTTAACAAATTTATAATGCTATATAACTATATGTAAGGAATGGGGTATTATAATCTTGAAAGATGTCATTTTACTCCAAAAACGGTCCTTGAACCAATTCCTATAAAGTCTGGGCTGTTTATTCTTCCATGAAGGTGAATCATGGGTTCCAGATTTTCACACAACCCTGCCATATTTTATGGTTGGAAATCTGGTCTGGGTGAAATGCTTAATTTGGTTTCAGCTCCAAATACAAACTCAGCTGGAGGTCAGAAATAAAATAAACAATAATTTGTCAGAGAAAGTACCTCTTGAAATGCACATTGGGCAGTTTCTGTTACAGTAATACCTGCCATACGAACACTAACATTATGGCTTCTTTAAAAGTCTGAGAGATCTATCATTTTTATGAACTATAATCAATTTTTGTTTATATATTTGTAAAAAAAATTATTATTTTAGTTAAATATATCAAATATAAAACACGGCTGTTTCAGAGTGAGCTTTATGGCTTCTTTTTTTTTGAAAATTTTAACGTAAAGGGTGTTACTAAAATATTTATTAACTTTTGAAATATTAAAGATAATTTTGTTTTGTAAAAGGAATAAAAACAACAATAAAATGTTTTATCACATGACATTTAATACAATAGTAACAAAACTTCTTTTAGTTTAGAAAAAACGCGACAAATGATGAAATTGGCTGAACGTTAGTAATTTGTTGTTACTTTTTATCAACAAAAAAATTGAAAACATGTATTTCTAATATTTATTAACAAGTTATAAACATTATTAGACTATTATAAAAACAAAAAAAATATTACTTAAACTTTATGTTAATTGAAACAGAGATAATTAAGTCATAAAACAAAATCGCACAAAAATATTAGAGAAAATTTTTTAAAGTTTTAATGTTTTACGTCATTGCTTTAATAACGTAAACAAAAATTTACGCGAAAAACTAGAAAAAGTTGCTAAACATGCCATGTTTGAATAAATATTCGCTAATATAGCAAAAGGTACATAAAATAATTTTTATATTTTCATCTGCATAAAAGGTCGAAATTTCAATAACTTACGTCATCCATCAATAAAATTATATTTTACATTTAAAAGAAATAAATTTAAATGTATAAATGCATTAAAAAGTAAGTTATAGTAAAATCATTTAAAATATTTTAACAATGTTTATTTTTATTTCGTTTAATGTAAATATTTATTTAACAAAGAAAGATTGTTATTTATATTTTTTTTATTCAAAGATGAAAGCATTTATAGAAAAAAAATACTATTAAAGTTGGTGCGGAAATTCTTTTTTTTTTTAACACAAAATAACATAACACAAAAATTCTTGTGACGTCAAGCTCGCTTTTATATTGAGTGAAGCAGCCGTGAAAAGCAATAAACAAATAGTTTTAGCATTTGACACGTTTTGATTGCTTAAAACATGTTTAAGTCTCTCAGGCTACAGTCAGAAGAGTAGGTTCTCAAAATGGAGGTCAAACTAGAAGCACAGAGAACAGACAGCTGAGGTTAAAAAAGAATAACAAGCGCTAGAGATGAAATAAATATCAAAAACAGTTACAGAATAAAATTGTAAGATGCCAGCAATAACTGAAAAGTATAGAAAACTACTGAAGAAGCTAAAGCGTACGCCTGCAATACTTGCAAAAACATCTTTGATCTCTCCATACACTTTAAAAACATTTTATTATTACAAGTTTTTAACAGACGTTTTTGCCTTATTATCTGATTTTACTAATATTTGAAAAACTATTAAACACCAATAAAGGATATGATGCAGGGGTAACTGTCAACTTAACAGTGAACTAAGGTCGATTAAACAAGATCAGTACAAGACTGACCTGCAGGCTACATTGGTTTCACAGTTAAGACTGGATTTCCAATGGCAAAAAAAAAAAAAACTTTATGCAATGCAGTGGTTATGCAATACCATACTGCAAGATTCATTAAAATATTTTTAGCTAATGGGAGTATCCAGCTTTTTGAATTACCAGGCAACTCTCCAGATATGAAGCCTATTGAAAATTTATGGGAGCTTGTCAGATGCAAAATTGACATAATAACAAGTAAATAGAAGCTCACAGAACGACTGACTGAGGTGTCAAGATCCAGATTTTATAGCATTAACCTCACAGTGCATAAATAATATGCCAAAGCATATCGAAGCTCTTTACAAGTATTACCAAGTATTAAATTTCAAAACATGCTTTGTATATATTTGTATATAGGCTCTAGACTTTAGCTCAAACGGAAGGTTCTTTAGGTGAATTTACTTTTTCTTAATAAATAAATTTTAATATTAAATTGATTTTAATCATATTGAAATAAAAATTGTAACCAAAACAAATGATGCATGTCAAACAATTAAATTTGCTTTTCGTGAAATCATGAATTTATTTACAAAATAAATAATTGATTTTATAGAGAAATTCGATTTTAAATGCAACAAAATGATCATTTCAACAAATAATTTTAAAAATGTCAAAGTTTCAACTTCAAATAAGTAATTTAGTTTAGTTTTATAAATAATATTAAAAAAATTTAAAGATTTAGTTTATCATTTACTTTCAACAAAATAAAAAAAAATAAAAATAATAATATTTACATTATAAAAATGTATATTATAATAATGTAAACTTTGACCATTAAGCCTTTAAGTCCAAAGCTTATGGTATATCATTGGTTACAGAGCACTGCGGAATAACATTTAAAAGTCTTAAAAATGATTTATCAACTCAAAGACAAGAAAAAATTTCTAGATTAATATTAAAGATAAGATTAAACACACACATCCCAAAAAGTATAATGGATAACCATTACTTGCGTATAAAGAAAAAAATATTTAAAGATTTATGCAAAAAAATTAATTTGATGCAGTTTGCCAATTTTTACCCTAACCCTAAAACTGAGGACCAAAAAAATGACAATATGTCCAGGAATCTAGAGACACTCATTGTTCATTTGTCATAGAAATTAAAATCTGGTCACACTGTCCAAAAGAAAAGATTGAGTTTGAAGTTAGATAGTTTCTACAACATTTTCAACATAAAAAATATGCTATTATCTAATATATAAAATAAATGACCTTCCCTCTTGTGTATTAAGCATTTAAAAGTATATTTTTCAGTTAAATAAAGAGATATTTTTCAGTTAAATAAAGATTAAACAACTTTTTTCCAGGTTTAAATGAATATGAAAATTTTTGTTTTGTTTTGATTTCTTAGATATATTTAAAAAGTTTTGTAGAATTTACTTTGCTTTTTATATTTAAAGAAGTTTTTATGTTTATATTAAACTGTTTAAACCAACATAATTAAAACCGATATTTTGTGCAAATGTTCTAATGCATATAGTGTGGACACGGAAAAATCCGGTCAACTTTAAATTGAGATTTCTCTAAAACCATAAATGCTTTTTATTTCAATTTTTTTATTATTAAATGTGTTTACATAAATTAAAGTTTTAACTTAATTTTAAGGGGCTTGATGGGTTGTTTGGCAAGAAATCAAACTTTATAGCGGGTTGATGCCATCATTTCACAGATTTTTTTTTTTTTTCACCATATTGGTGGCATTAATCTACTTTTTTTGGAAGTCCTTTTTATTATTTGTTACTCCACCTGTCTTACAAAGAACTCTTTTAACTATTGCCCAAAAATCTTCAATCTTGCGCTCTTCAGGACAATTTGGAGGATTCACATCTTTAGGAACAATTTTCACATTATTATCTTTGCACCACTGTAGAACTTTTTTAGAATAGTGAGATGCAGCAAGATCGGGCCAAAAGAGACATCGTATTTGTGTTTTTTTACAAAAGGCAAAATTTTGGAGGCATTCTTTGATGTAGAAATTGGCAATCAAGGTCTTTTTAAAGACAAAACAAGAGGACTGCATACCACAGCTACAAATTGCTTGCCACACAAGGAACTTGGATGCAAATTTTTCTCATCGAATATATTTAAATTGATCATCGACAGGTTTATCTTTGTTTTCATAGTAAAACTGTTGACCAGGAAGTTGTGAAAAATCCACCTTGCAATACGTTTCGTTGTCTTCAATTATGCATATACTTTTATCCGCCATTATTTTAACCAACTTCTTTGCGCGTCGAATTTCTTTAATTTCTCAATTTAAGCTTCTCTTAGGTTCTCTTAGGAAGAAAAAAAACTTTCCATAAATCCTTTTTGGATTTATGGAAAGTTTTTCTTCCACTTCCAAGTTTTCTTTTAAAGCTTTGAGTAGTCTTGAACTTGTTTATAATATCTATGACTGTAGATTTTGGGACATTTGTACGTTTAGCAATCAAACGATAGGAAATCAATGGATTTTTGCAAAAAAAATTCACAAATTTTTTACGCAAATAAATTTGTTTCCAAAACATTTTGTAAATCATTAATTTGTAAACAAAAATTTATCAACACCATTTAAGATAAGGACGCAAGGTTTAATTGAAAAAAAATGTAAATAAAAAGCATTTGTGGTTTTGGAGAAATCAAAATTTAAAGTTGACCAGATTTTTCCGTGTTCACCCGATAACAAATAAAGGCGTATTTGTTGACAAGTTCCATGATAGGACATACAACCTTTATCAAAAAAACATGTATGAAATTGTAGCTAAATTATTTTTTTAAGCATTTTTTTCTAGTTTTTAGTATGCCCTTAATTAATTTTTGCTTTTTCATAATAGACTTTAAATAGCTTGTTTGCTTTTAAAACTAAAAACTATTTCGAAAAAACTTTACAGTATGAAAAATGGTAATGAAAGATCCACTTACTTCTACTTTGAATACTGTTGTTTGTAACCACGCTCTTTCATGGAAGATATCTTTAACACTAGAAACAAACATAAATATATAATAAATATAAAATAAGATAATAATAAAAATATAATAATACATATAATAGGCTTAAATAATATCAAAAGAACAAGAAAATTTGTTTAGCTTTTATTTTAACAAATAATTCAATTTTTGATTTAAAAAAATGAAGGAAAAAACTATTTGAAGCTATTACCATAAATTAATAATTAGTAAACTTTCCTTTAATGTAGTGATATAGTCACTTGTATGATGTAGTCACTTGATTGTTACTTGCTAACAAAATGGTGTACTTATATTGCTCTACAGTAGATAAACTGGTTCTTGCCTATAAAAAACCTAACATTTCTGAAAAATATTTTTAAGTGTATTCTTTTTTTTTTCTTCCTTTTTTTTAAAAGCTAGAGACTGCTATGAATCATTTAACTCTTTTTTTTGCATCTATTTTAGCATTTTTAGCAAAATCTTTGAATCTTTAATTAACTTATCTTTGTTAAATCTTTGTAATCTGAAATACTATTCAAAACATACATACACGTTTTTTTTAAAATCTTGAACATGTGTTACAACATAACATCATATAACATTCTATAACACAGTAGATAAAAACTTGTGTCAAATAAATCTCAAAACCTGTTTGCATTTTGACCCAATTAATACACAGTCCTTAATTGAAATATTATATGTACGCTGTGACATATTTTAAGTATACAATAATTAAAAAATAAAACTTTTAATACCTTGCACCATGTTCTGCTAGCAACTTAGTAAGCTCCACTAAACCACCTGGTCTGTCTGATATTACAGCAGAAAATCTGACTAAGCGACCATCAGCAGCCAACCCACGCTCGATAACTCTTCCAAGAACAGTTGAATCAATATTTCCACCACATAGTAGAAAAACAACTCTTTGAAAAAGAAAAATTTAGTTGTTTAAAAAATCAGTTGATTTTTTAAACAACTAAATATAAATTTTTTAAGCAACTTTAAAACAGGTAATAATAATCTAATATAACTAAAAAGAAATAATATAAATAATTAACAAAAAATAAAAATATTTAGTCAACCACAAGTTATATTATACCTTTTTCCCTTTAAATGAGATAATTGACCAGAAAACGCAGCAGCTAATCCTGTTGCACCAGCACCTTCAACTACACATTTTTCATTCTCAACCAAGCGTAGAACTGCCATAGCAATGTATGACTCGCTGCAAAAAAAAAAATGTAATAAAAATTACTAACCTATTTTCAAAAAATAACTAATGCTTGTAGTTTTAGCAATTGATTGTGCATAAATTTAGGTAAATCTATTAAATTTAACTTGTGAAAAAACTTATACTATATTAGAATTATTATTATATATTGGATTTTAATTACCATCATGTGAATACACATATTAAAATATAGTAAATGTTTCTTTAGAAAACGAAAAACTTTTCACTTGTTACTTGCAAATATTGAAGAGAGTTCTGGAGAACATTTTTTTAAGACTATGATGGAAATCTTGTCTGAACCACAAGCTGTAGAAGTGTTCAATTGAGAATTAACTATAGCATTGGAAGTTAAAGTGATTTGGATGTCTAACAAAGTGATTTGGATGTCTGACTATGAAATAATCTGTTTAACTGGAATGGCAAGAAGAGTATGGCCATTAGATTCAAAAGTCAAGCTAGTCCTTTGCAAATAATTCTACCTTATTCTGATACAAACTAATAAGATCAGACCCTGATCTTTTAAATTTAAATTTTATCTTTTAAATTTAATTAGAAATTAAATGTTAGACATATTTAGTTAATGAAACTGTTGAGGATTTTCCAAAAGTCTCTAGAACCTATTATCTGAGATATGATACAAGATTTAGTAAATTGAGAATAACAGATCTGAACATCTGACTATTTGCATTGACTTCATGCAATAATAAAAGACATTTGTTCAAAAGAGAGGTGTTCTTGTAAAAAAGATTAAAAAACTGCTTAATATATCAACTATACAGTAAAAAACAAGCTTCCAAACCTGCTTAGATCCAGGAGATAAGATAAGATGCACATTTATGCATACATAATTATGGATATATATGGATATAAACATATATGTTTGCTATTTATTTAGATGCTGGCATATAATATCCTAACACAATTATATAAACTTTTAAATGTTTATATGATTTACTATAAAGTATTTATATGGTGTAGTATTTGCCAAAAGAGAAGATGATTAAATGGATGTGTGGTACTCTAACAAAACAAGAAAAAAAAAAAGGTTGTATTGAACGTTTGCCTGAGAAAATTAAAATGATTTTGGGTATGTAGATAGGTAACAGCTTTAGGAGAAACTTGTAATAGTAAAAGTGAAAAATTTGGAAAGATTGCGTTACATACTGTATGAATGAGCATTAGTTAAGGAAAGAAAATTCTTGAGATTATAAATTTATTTTAGAGAAACAGCAAAAAAAAGAGGGAAATGAGGAAGGCTAAAGATTGGTGATGATCAACACATTAGTAGAAAAGTACAATTATTATTAAATATAATTATTTAATAATTATTAGTCATTAAACATTTTATTCCATCAACACGACAGCCGTACACTGATAAGAAAGAACCTTGGAATTCTCCACAATTAAGAGAGGCAGTTTAATATAAACACAGCCTTTGAGAAAAATATCAAGACACTGAGATTTTGACTTTAAATTATAAGAAAATTATAAGAAATATATTGCAAGTGGTTTCAAGGCTGATCCCAAAAGATTGCATAATCATGTGAAATATAAACATATCAACTACAAAGTTAAACCACTAAAGTTGAAAATAGCCATATAACCACAGTCAAAATGTTTTTACCAAGTATTCTTAACAATAACTTTTAATCTATATTCGCTTTAGAACCCGGAAATGATAAACTGCCCGAGTTCAAAAAAAGAACTGACAACTTGCGACATGAAAGGTTACAACATTGAATTCACTGTTGTCCAACGCAGGCTAAAGAGCCTTAAAGAATTCAAATCACAGGGTTTTGATGGGCTTCATCCAAGAGTCCTAGAATTATGCGCAACTACCTTCATTACACCTCTTACACTAGTTTACTGTAATTAGGTTAAATAAAGTATTGTTCCAGACCTCTGTAGAAGATCAATCATTACGCCTATTTTAAAGAAAGGCTCCAGAACAAAAGCAATTATCGCTCTGTTTCACTTGCATCTGTACCTTGCAAAGTCCTCGAGAGCTGTCCAAAAGAGGCTGGGTCACAAATCTATTTAAAGCAGAAGATATCTTAACCAATGGTGTTCACTAAGGTAATATGTATATATAATTTACAATGACTTATGTGTACATAATTTACAGAAATGAAGTCAAAGCAAACATAATGCTCGGAAAGCTCAAAAGGTTGTTTAGAAGCATAGGTATGCTGCTTTAGAAAATACTCTACACTACTTATGTTTAATGTGGTCACCCCATTTTAAATATAATTAAGTAAGACTGAAACAAATCCAACACAGAGCAACTAAAGTAATTACTGAACTCGAAAATCCTTCTTACAAAGAAAGACTCAACATTCTTAAATTAACCACTCTGGAAACCAGAAGAAAAGGTGGAGATATTATACAACAATGTAAAATAATATATGGTGTCAAATAACTAAAGCCAGCTGGACTAAAAACTTTTCTTTTTGAACCTTACAAAAAAATAAAGCAAAAAAAAAAAAAAGGTTATTACATAATCATATAAAATTTTCTGACAAGAGATAAAGCAAATAAACACCTTAGGCAATTCAAAAAAAAATGTATTAAAAAAACCATACAAAGAAAATTTTGTTGTTTTCTATGGATATTTTTAAACTGGAAACACTATGTTGTACTGAAAATTCAGCATCATTTTAAAATCCAATATTTAGGCAGTCAGCATTAATATTAACTTTATTTCATTTTTTTTCTCTAGCCAACTGCTAGAAATTCTAAAAACAATTACATAAACCAAACACATTAATTAGGAATTAGAAAAAAAAGTCTTGGTTTGGGTGCAATTATTTGTTTATTGGATTCTAGTAATGTCTAATACATTATTAGTTTTAACATATATATGCTTTTTAATTTAAAGAAAAAAATTTCTAATATTATTTTAACATTTAATATTAATATAATATTAAATCATGTAAGTTTCATATGTTTAATATATTTAAATAATCAGTTAAATAATAAACATCAGCCACAATTATGTAATTGAAACAAGGTTAATAAATATATTAAATGATTAACAGACACTAAACAATATACCCTAGTACAATACTTAACATTTTATAATATGGCAACATATAGGTATGATTGGTTAGAAAGTCAAAATATTTTTTAAATTTAGTTTTACTAAATCATTAAAACTGTGACTAGACACCAAGTCTAGTCATTGTGACTTGACTAAAGCGTGACAACCTCCTTGACATGACTTATAAGCAAAAAAATTCATTGACTAAAAACCTGACAACCCCCTGGCCTTACAAAAAAAAAAACTTGTCAGGCTAATTCATTAAAGCATCTTTTTAATAAAAAAAATAAAAAAAAAATTTTAATGTAAAATTACATTGGCAATATTGTTTAATTTAAAACATACCTAACTGAAATGACTTTATCAACATATGGTCGAGCTGTAAAAAATGCATTTTCTCCAACTTTTGAAACACACAATCCTTTAAACAAAAAATAAATTCAACTTAATAACTTAAATGAAGTAAAAACGTTCTAAATAATTTATAAACAAATAATACCATCAGCTAAAGTCAATGATTGATCAGCATCTATTTTAACTGGTTTCCCCGCTTCTAAAGCAGCTTTGAAGCTTGCACACTTCTCGCTTTCAACACCCTAAAATAAATCACAAAATTGTATATTGAAATTTTTTTTCGACATGTCAACATTTCTACAGCAGTTAAGTTTTCGAAATAATTATTTTCCTTTAATAAATTCACTCTCACAAAAAGAGAAATAAAAAGCAATAAAAATAATAAAATAATAATAAAAAGAAAAATGATAAAATATAAATATATAATAATAAAAAGAAATAAAAAATTTGAAAGAGGTAAGATTCCACAGATGAAAATTTACTTTAAAGGCCATAAATATTTGTAAATGATATGTTTAAACTATTAAGCGGTAATGATGGTTTTTTTTATTAATATTTTAATCATGTTTTTAATCATTGGAGAACTTGGTTCATTTATAGATAGTTCATAGTTTTCTAAGCAAAAAGCTTAAATAAGTTTTCTAAGCAATGCACTTAATAAGCTGTATAAATAATAAGCTTAATAAATACAAAATAAAAACATAAAGTTGAAACAAAGAGCTCAATATACAGCCTTGAAAATCCACTCCAAAACCACCAACATATTTTGAATTATTTTGAAAATGTCCAACTTATTTCAAGATTTATCATATGTTCTTTAATATATAAATATTATGTACACATATATAGAACTATATAATCTTATGTGAAATATATATTTTTGTATATATAATATATACCATAAACAAAAAGAGTCTGAAATCCATGTTTGTTTCAGTGAGTCGCAAAAATTTTTTTCAAACAACTTTGAAATGTTCAAAGCTACTACTAATTATATCACTATGAGTGAACATCAAAAAACTAATAATGGTATCACATGCTTTACAAACTTCTTCAGTGGTTGGCTTTGTCATGGTTTCATTAGCACCTCAATTTCTTGCTTGTCCTAATTTCAACAAACTATTCATACCACGCAATCATAATTTATACCAACTTTAAATCTAAATTATTAAAAGTTGATTGAAATGACATTACCAATAAAAACAATGTTAACTCAAGTTTTGAAACATTTATTTCTCAAACAACTTTGTTGTTAAATTGTCATGTGCCACTCAAAAAAATTAGTATTAAAAGCTACAAGCATCAATTCAAGCCATGGATTACTAAAGAAATAATAAAATCAATTTGAAATCTTATTCAAGGGAAAATGTTAAAGACAAAAGATTTAACAAATATAATTAAACTAAAAACAATCTTTAAATGCTATAAATATACCATAATTAATCTAATAAAACAGAGTAAAAAAATACATTTCAAAAAATTATTTTCAGAAACTATAAAAAATCTTTGTGAGGCCTGGAAAGGCATAAAAAGTCTAATAAATGTCAAAAATGTCAATAATATACCTCCAAATTGCTTTTTTTTTTTTGCTTTCTTTTTTTGTAAGGTTCAAAAAGAAAAATTTTGAGTTAATGACATAGCTGAACCTACTCTAATCTTTGAAGAATTCAACAACTTTTTCACAAATGTAGCTCATAAACTTAATTCTTAAATTCACTCATCTTACATTAGCTATAAAAAGTAAACATCCAAATCTTCATAGTTTACTGATATTTCCAACAAATCATTTTGAAATTTCATCACTTATATCTAAATTAAAATCTAAAAAATCAATAGGTCCTAACAGCATCCCCACAAACATTCTTATTGATTTTAATTCTGAATTTTTCTCATATTCTCTCTAAGCTATTTAATATCTTCTTCTTGAATGGAATTTTTCCTGATATTTCATTCCAGTATATAAAAATGGTTCAAAACTCTCATGTACTAACTATAGACCAAATTCAATTCTTTCTAACATTAGTAAGCTCCTTGAAAAACTAATCTACTCTAGATTATATTCATTTTTGAATTCCTTAAACTGTTTAAATGAGTTTCAATTTGAATTTCGATCAAACCACTCTACTTGCAACGCTTTAATAAGTATAACCGAAAAAATAAAAAAGGCACTGGATACTGGTCATTTTGTAGGTGGTGTTTTTATCGGCTTACAAAAGCATTCGATACGGTTAATCATACCATTTTAATTTCTAAACTCGATTTTTCTTGTCTCATCTACTGTTGTCAAGTTTGGGGACAAATTGGCAATTGTAACATTAATAAATTGTTATCAGCTCAGCACCAATCAATCCAAATAATTAATTTTCAAGTCCATAATACAGAAACTTTAAAGTTCTTCAAAAATACTTAAAATTCCTACCTTATCAGTTAGTTAAATTTGCTAATCTTCTTTTTGTTTTTGACTCCCTTAATAAAAATTTACTTTCCTTTATTACAACCTTCTTCACTGAAATTCAATTTATACATTCAGATTTAACGAGAAACATCAATAATGGAAAACTAAATGTACCAGTCTTGTGTGCATTGTGAATGAGTTTGAAAAATTAAAATTTCATAATAATTTATCTACATTTCTTTAAAACAAAATAAATTTAAATAAATTCTAAAAAAAAATCCTAGACAAAGACTTAAGAGGTAAACAGATTCTATCTGTTGACCAGCCTCGCACCCCTTCTTTATCTATTAGGCTGGCGCAGATGTATTTTTAATACATTGTTTCCAGTTTAGGATGTTAAACGCTGGATCTTCTGGACTTGATGCATGGGTTTTGCTTGTGTCTCTTTTTTTATGACTAGGCATTTCATTCTATTATCTCCAAATAAGGGTACAGCTCTAAAACTCAGTTTTATGGTTCTGAGGCCGGCTGGTAGTCAGGTTTCCCAAACTCTGTGGTAGCTCTCAGAGAGGCTGAAACCATCAACAGCTGAAAAATATCAAAGTACTAACAGTGCATGGATGGTGTCCCTGTTTGTACTTTTGGTGTGCATTGCCAAAACCACATTAGAGCCCTTTGTTATGGCATAGGGTTGATTAGTGGAAATGAGGCAATTGCTTGGGCTATAAAACAGTGTACTGAGCACTATCTATGTTTCGAGTCAAGTTCTTTAACAAATTTAAAAATGAATAAAGTAACAAAAACTATAAAACACAAAAAACCACAGTCATCACCTAGTTTGCTAAACCTATCATTCACTAAAATTCGTGGTCTTCAAAGTAACTTTTCTTCTGTTGAGTCTTATCTCTTGCAAAGTTCACCAGACCTACTTGCTCTTTGTGAGACTAATTTGAGTTCAACTGTCTCATCTTGTGATCTTAGTGTTGATGGTTATCTTCCTTTAGTTCGTATAGACTCCAATAGTCACATGCTTGGCCTGGGCATTTACATTCGCAAGAATTCACCCATTAGTCGGTAAAATTGTTTGAATCCACAGAATACTCTTTCATGTGCTTTCACTTAGCACCATTTCGCTCTATCACCTTTCTCTTTGTTCTATATCGCTCTCCTTTATTTCAAGACTGCACTCTTCTTGATGTTATTTCTGATCATATTGACCCAGCCCTCTCTCTTTATCCCTCAGCCAATATTGTTGTTGTTAGTGACTTTAATGCTCATTACACATGGCTTGGCTCTAGTGTCAGTGACTCTGCAGGCATTAAAGCCCACAACTTTTGCCTTTCTCAATCTCTAACTAAATTAGTCAACTTTCCAACTGGCTTTCCAGACAACCCGAATCATTTACCTTCACTATTCGACTTGTGTCTTGTTTCTGATCCTAGTCAGTGCTCAGTTTCTCCACACTCACTCTTAGGTGCTTCCGATCATGGTTTGGTCTCTCTAAAACTATATATCTCATTCTTCTTTATCATCAGAATCTCCCTATCATCCTACATCTTACAACTACCTTAAAGCTGACTGGGACTCTTTCCGTGATTTTCTTCGTGATGGCCCTTAGTAAGAAATCTTTCGTCCTCCTGTTGACAAATGTGCTTCTTACATAACTTCATGAAATCAGGCTGGCATGGAATCCTTTATTCCCTCTCCATGATTCCAGGTCAAGCTTCACTTTTCTCCATGATTTTCTTCACATTGTGGTTCAACTGCCAATCGAAACCATTACTTCTATATCTATTCTAACCATTGTAAAAAGATTTAGTCTAACGCCAAGCTCGCTATTCTCAGATCATGAAATCTTGTATTTCATCACAAAAATTAGACTCTCGTGACTTCTGTAGAATCTTTAATAGTATCAATAATAAGGGCAAGTCTGTAATTCCATCTCTTTTGTATGGTTCAGACATTGTCACCTCAACTAAAGACAAAGCTGAATTGTTTGCTAAGAACTTTTCATCAATATCACTTCTTTATTTCATTAGTTGTGTTCTATCTGATATAATTGTCAAACAGGTTGATTCATTGCTCGACATCCGTGTCACTCCTTTTTTTCTGTATCTAAAGTAATTTCCTGCTTAGACTTTTCTACAACTTGTGGCCTGGACAGCATACCTGTTATAGTCTTGCAAAATGTTCTCCAGAGATGTCGTCTATCCTTTCAAAACTATTCAACAAGTGCTTATTAGAGTGTTGTTTTCCAGCCTGCTGGAAAGCAGCATATTTTTAAAAATTCTGGAGCACAATCCGATTTGTCAAACTACCATCCCATTAGTTGTCTTCCTATCATAAGCAAGGTTTTTGAATCTTTAATTAACAAAAACTTAATCTCTCATCTTGCATCTAACAACTTACTTTCTGATCATCAATATGGATTTCGATCTTCTCGTTCTACGGCTGATTTACTAACAGTAATAACCGAATGAATTTATCGCGCATTAGATAAAGGTGGAGAGATTAAGGTCATCGCTCTTGACATTTCTAAAGCATTTGATAAAGTTTGGCATGCTGGTCTTGTCCATAAACTTTTTTATTACTGTGTATCTAAAAACATCTTTAAGATTATTGAATCTTAAAGATGTTTCTAGATACACCGTAAGAAGATTTCCAATCGTAGTATAAAAGTTTTCCTTGTTGGATAGCACTCTTCTTCTTATTCTGTAACATCAGGGGTTCCTCATGGTTCAATCCTTGGCCCTATACTCTTTTCAATTTACATTAACGATCTTCCAGATATTCTCACATCTAAGGTGGCATTGTTCGCCAATGATACCATTTATTCTTGTCGCCGAT